TATTGCTCTAGAATGTGTGGAATGTTTACATGCCGGGCTGCCCCTCACGACAGTCCAGGAGGAATGCAGCGAGGGACTCAATCTTCTGCCACAAAAAGAACTGAGAGCGGGCCATAGTGGCCTCGCAGTTGGAAATCCTAAGAACGAGTCCCATTCTGGCATAGATGCAGCGAGACATCATGTCAATCTTTCTGCCCTCCCTATCAGCAGGAGGTGAAAGTTCTTTGTTCTGTCTTCCCTGGGAGGAGTCAATCACTATCGAATTCGGCTGAGGGTGTTTGAGGAGGAGTGGAATGTCTTGCTACCATACTTTGTACATCCCCTCTAGATGTCTGGAGGTGGGATGTGGGTGGTTCGGAAGCTGCCAAGCATTGGTCATCGCCTGTCAAAGATTGGTGATGAAAGGCAGAGCGATGGACGATGAGTCCTCTTTATGAACAATGTCGTAAATGTTGTCCTGGTTGGGATCAATTCGCTGCTGTACGTCTATCTCCAGCGATTTGGTAATCCAGGAGAGCAGCTCAGAGAAGGTGTCCTGGGAGTCGCCTGGAGATCCAGGACCTTGGGTAGAAATGACAGTGTCAGGAGATGTGGAGGCTTGCTTAGAATCCTCCGAATCCGAGATGTAAGGCAGACTGGATGAGGACCCGTCAGGAGATGCTGGTGGACAGGTGAGCGCTGCAGAAGATGATGTGGCATCCCTCGACACCAAGTGAGGGGTGGAATGATGGGGATGCATTGGTGGTCATGGGTAGTATCCATATGGGGAATAGTAATCCCACAGATAAGGCCAGTAGAAGCGGTCAGGATCAAATTCTCCATACAGCAGAGGAACCCAGTACCACAAAGGTTGTGGAGCAGAAGGCTGGGGAGGTAAGAGGGACGATGGACATTGGGGTAGCCTCAGAGATCTCTCCAGAGATGATTGAGCTGCAGGTGCAGGTGTTGGTAATCTCGCAGGTGGACGTTCTGATCCCAGTTGTGGAGGAGATTCATGGATTTCTCTGTCAGAGATTGACCCTCTCACCAAAGGCTTGGGACTGGAGTGTGGCAAAGTTGTAAATCACAGGGGTGATGATGGAGGTGTCACCTGCATAACGGATTGGCAGCTTGGAGTTTCAGCCAGGACTGAGATCGGTGCAGTAGCTGGCTCCGAGCGAGGCACCCTGGCACGTTTCTTGTGCCAGCACTCGAATTTGTCAGGTTTGTCCTTCTTAGGACGTTTGGGCTTCAAAGAATCTTCAGACCTGACATGCTTCCTCTTCTCCTTATGTTTGTGGGGAGGAGAATTAGAGGAGTGCTTTCCATCTTTCCTAACAGGATCCCCTTCAGATGGGTGAACGGGGAAGGATTTCAGCAGTCCCAAAGTCACAGAAGAGCTGGCCTCAGCCAAAACCTGCTTCATGGCAACCAGCACTTGGTCCCATAACATTTTTCACAGCCTATTCTCATGATTTTTCCAAGCCTGCCTGTTGAACAACTGGCAGTGGCTGCATTTATCAGTTCTGTGCCCTTCTCCGAGGCAGAGAAGACACAGATCATGAGCATCGGTGGGAGACATCTTGGCTCCACACTGAGAGCACATACAGAAGGCCACCCACTGTGCCATCAAGGAAGAAAAGAGGAGAGAAACAGCAAACTGAGAAAGTTTGTGGAAGAGAAGGACGATAGAAAGGGTGTTTTTGTTTTGTTTTTTGTTTTTGAGAGGGGAAGTGGGGAGAATAAGAAAAGTAAGGGTAGGGGTCTGTAAGGGACGAACTAGAATAAAAAGCTACAAGTTGTAAAGTGGAAAGGAACGATCAGAAAGAAGACAAGATTTAAAAGTTTACAATCTAGAAGCGCAAGCAGAAAGCAAGAAGCAAGAAGGCCCGAAGGATGGCGAACAGCGGTCACAAGCAGACTGAAGAAAGGGTGGGCACTCCATCCATTTATACTATGGAGGGGAGGGCATGGAGTTCCCACCAAAAACTGTTAAAGCTATTCAATTTTTTTAGGCAACAGGCATTGCACAGGCACAGCACTGATAATCTGTGATGCATGGAGACCACGATGAAGAATCTCAGTTCAGATAACACACTAAAGGAACCTTCCTAGTTTGCTGAGTAGCAAGGAAGAGCAAAGTGAGAGTAACCAGTCACAAGGTGCACATACTGCCATATGTACGGGGCGGTGGGTGGAGGCACATAGTAGTACAGGGGTGGTCAGGCCTGCTCAATGGAAGAGCCACATACAGTAAATATCAGATGTTTGAGAGCTGCAAGTGGATGCTCAAGGGCGAGCCACAAGCCACAAAATAAATTAAAAGAGTCACATGTGGCTCCCAAACCTTGGTTGGCCACCCCTGTAGTAGGGTCTGGCGAAAAGATGTCTAGAGGTTGAAAAATGCCCTTAACCAAATTAATTCATTCCAAACATAACTTTGGAAGGCGTTTTCTTTTTTTAACTTAACAAGTTAACCGCACTATTCAAAACTATAGGTAACCCATTTGACCCATAGTTCTATTAAGTCATAATAAAAAGATACACTTAATTACACATTATAGCTTAAATATTATAGATATTACTATTTACAGCCTTTACCCAATCTGAACTTGAACTTCGAATTAGTACTAAATTCGAGTTAATATATATTGTTATTGTTAACATACTTTCAATAACTTGCTCAATTGAATATATTTCAAATAATCAGTGCACATATTCAAATTTATTGAGGTAGTATTAGTTCATATCTCAGAACAAGACCTGAAGTTTATTAATTTAACATTGGCTTGAGTTTAGAAGACAATATTGGAAATAATTCTTGTTCTAACATCCTCTTGGGCACCACTGTAAACTGTTCATTTTCCTTCTAGCCAACTTAATATATTTGCACAGCCTGCATTACAAATTTGGATCACGTGCAGTTTAATTTTCCAATTAATTATTTGTAATTGTGCATGTAAGAGATAAGCAACTATGCAGTGCAGTAGTACTGTTACTCTCTACTGACTCCACTAGTAGAGTTCATTGATTTATAACTGGACAGCATGAAACTCTTCTTTACAGAGATTAACAACTGTTGTAACCACTCCCTGACAACTGTTTAGCAAACCACATACAAGGTACAAACCTGTATTTAATCTTGAGCTGTATGCATTTCTGGTCACTTGCTCAAAATATATGAAAATAAGAGCTTACTGGGTACCTGTGATATAAATGTGAAATACCTTTATATAAGGCCTGTATATGATTTTGAAGCAAGCTTGGCTAAATGATTTGTGAAAGGTGAAGAAGAACTCAGCCTTTCACACAAAGTTGATCCTTTTTTCCCTTAAAGCTTTTATGAAGGAAGTCCTCAACTTTTAGTTTACCTTCCTGGAGCTGAATCTAAGCTTTCTCTCCACCTCCTTTGAGCCACCTTCCTGGCATTGCAGTCGAATACTGCAAGATTAAGGACTTTCATTTTTACCCAAACTTAATGTATATGATGCATGTTAATGATTTCATTGTGAACTAGTTGATTTCTGTCCGTATTAGTTTGTACTTGTAGGGGTGTGGAAACTCCATTAAGAGATACTTCAATTAAGGCCTATCCTCATTCTGTGTCTGCTGTTTCGTAAACATAATGTGTGGTTAAATTTAATTCAATTCCACTGCTACAGAATTTTACACAAATATCTACCCCAATATTTAATATCTTTGTTCAGAAAAATGCTTAGATCCTTGCAAGCAGTGGTGGTAAAGGAATCTTAAATAACTAAGCAAGCAAAACCTATGTCAGTTGGGAGCAACAGAATCAATTAGGCACAAAATCCAAGTTCTTACATAATTTGTTCCTTTAGTGTTTCTGCTGCTACCAAAGATCAAATGTAACAATAAGGAGAATATTACATAAACCAAGCAAAAACATTTGCTGCAAATTCAACATTTGCTGCAAATACATCTCATTTTGTAACCGTATTTATTACACTTACATTCCACCCTGTAAGGAGCTCAGGGTGGCTTAACTTTGTTTCCCTGGTTGCTTTTCATTCAAGACAGATTAGAGAAGGGGTCCTCAAATTTTTTTAACAGAGGGCCAGTTGAAAGGTGCTGGTGGCGGGCATGGGCCGGTGAGGGGGCAGTGCGGGGGTGGTGCACGCGCAGCAAGGCAAGGTGGGGGTGGGCACGCACAGTGAGGCAGGCAGCAGCAAGCATGGTGAGTCCAAAATCTCTGAGGCGGGCTGGATAAATGGGCATGGCGAGCCAGATCGGGGCCATGGCCCGTAGTTTGAGGATCCATGGATTAGAGGGACAGAGCACTTTCATGGGCATGAACAAGGAGAGACACTCTCCAGTTATGCAGCAATTGTGTATTCACAAAGTTACATTTGTATTTTCACTGCATCCATGTATGGTACAAATAACATGGGTTCATCCTGCTACTAACATGTTTGCTGCATAATAAAGTGGAAGTGATTTGAAGATGTACTAATCTCATCCTTTAAATGACTTCTTATACAGTTAAAAGTGTTGGGATTGTTATCTACTGTGATGGTTGTTGCCATTTTTAAATACAGCACCTATTCTGTTCTAGAATTTATACATGCTGCCAAAACCCGCAAGCTAATTTATATGTACAGAGTCACAAAAGAAAGGAACAAAGTAACTACAAGTCAATTTCTCCTGTTGTCTCACATCACAACAATTGCCTTTGTCTTGTGATCAAATGCTACTCAGTGTATCTCTTGAGTAGTATATAATACACAAATAGAGCAAGGCGATTCCTATCATGGTTGCGGTTTTTTTCTAGATCATGTTTCAGAATATGGATTGCTTTTATTAGTAGCAGCAATATGGGTTATTCACTGCCTTACCTCCTACTCACCATCATTTTCTAAGCCACATTCTGAAGACTCCCAGAACCCTTGAGAGCAGCTTTGCACACAGCTTTGTTGCCTGCCCTTCTATCCATTTGTACAACATGTAATTTCTAAGATGACAAGGAACAGCAATATCATCCAGAAGCACCAGATACCTACTGAAACAGAAGACTTCAGAACATGGTCAGTGGCATTCGAAGTTCCTACAGGGAAGTCATTAGGGGGACCCAGTGCCGGATCACTGCTCCTTCTTACCAAAAGTGGTGTTCCTAAAAGAAAAAAACAATAAAGGACAGAAATATGGCACATAGAAATTTGCTCACTATAATTTTCTGTGCAAAGATTCTAACAAGGTCACAGAACAACTTTACACATGGCCTGAGTTGCAGTATTCGTATTTTAAAAAAAGAAAAGCTTGACTAGATGACACCCTAAGAACTACACTGGGAGTTGAGAGAATGAAAAGGAAGACTTTTTAAAAAGGAATTAGTGGCATCTTGAAAAATTATCAGTTTTACATTTTCAAGAATGTAGGAGTAGTGGAAAAGAAAACTTATCTATTCATAATGCAGAAACATGACAGAGAGTGTGATGCAGCCTGATGCATGTCAATGAGTCTCATAAAATCTGCAGTTTTTCAGAGTCCTAAACAATTTATGTATTATAGTTATATCCTCCCTTTTTTTTTCCTGCAAGTAACCCAAGGAAGCTTACATAATCCTCTTCTCCACTTTATCCTCACAAAAGTCCTGTGAGGTAGGTTAGACTGAGAAGCGGCGAGTGGCCCAATATCACCCAGTGAACTTCATGGCCAGGTGGCGACAAGAACCTGGATCCCTAGAGTCTCAGTCCAACAATCTAAGCAGTACGCCACAGTGAATTACCATAAAAAGATAAATATATTTTTTGCTAACCATTCACTGGCCTATTGATTTATGCCTCCAGCATGTCCTCCAAACCATAAATACTTTTGTTATTGTCAATTGTACCCTGCACGTCATCCTTTTTCAAGAACAGCTGAAAACTTCAGATATTCAGAAAGGCAGATTGCTTACCTGTAACTGTTGTTCTTCGAGTGGCCACCTGTATATTCACACACAACAATGCCGGTTGCCTGGAAGATTAAACAGCTTTAACAGTTTTCGCAGGAACTCCGGGCACTCCCCACCATAGTATAAATGGGCGGAGTGCCCATAATCAATAAGCATCGTTTAAGAATAAGGATGTGAACTAATCCTCTTTCCTGAGCAATGGAAGGATATTGTGGAGTGCGGTCATTCGGAATTTTTTGGTTTTGATGTATTAGTTAACACCACGTAAATGCAATATTGGGCATAGACCACCATCCCTTTTTGATAACATAAAGTACCTAGAGTAGAAAACATGCAGGCCTTCAGAGCGGTGCAGTTTTTGAATCGCTCCTTTACGAAGTAGCTGGGAAACTTCATCTAGAATGACTGGAAAGGTAGCCAAATATCGGATAGGTCCTGCAGGAGGCACGGTGTCAAACTTGATTTTGTATCCACCTATCAGATGTGACAGACTCCCAGATGGGGGGTCAGCCTTGCAGCCAATCCCCAAGAGGAAGAGGGGAAGGTGGGTTGGAGGATCGAGGAGAGGTTCGCGCATCCCATCAATGCTGGCATTTGTCGGTTTTGGGATGGCGTTGAGCCTGCTGGTATCGTGGCGCATTCTGCCTCCGGTTCCTTTGCTGACGCTGTTGGAATTGATGGCATCCTGCATACTGTGGGTAAGGCTGATACTGGTACTGAGAGAGAAGCCACAGCCACGTCGATGTTGAGACGGCGTCTCCATACGGCGAGCTGTAAGACGAGCTTTCTGAATATTCTCCAGCTTGTCATCCATTTTTGAGTGGAAGAACCCGTAGCCATCAAAGGGCATGTTTTCCATGTGCCGCTTGGTCCCATTGGGTAGGTTACCTGAGCGTAACCAGTCATGGCGACAAAGGGCGACTGCACCGACGAGAGCCCAAGAGTCACAATTGACATGTCTCGCTGTATTAAGTTTTTGGATGGAAAGCTGCATAGCCTCGTGGGTGAACATGTAGGCAAGGTCACTATGCTGGTCTGGGAGATTAGCGGTGAGCTACCCGAGCTTCTGCATGAAAACGTACTGATACCTCGCCATCGAGCTTTGTAATTGGAGATACACAGCCCAAGTCCCATAGCAGGATAGATACGATGAGACATCATGTCAATCTTTCTGTCTTCCTTCTGTTTCAGTGTCGAGTGCACTTTGTCTTCTCCATTCTGGGAGGACTTGATGACAATTGAGTTTGGCTTGGGATGCTTGAGAAGCGATGGCATGTCTTGCTCCCAAACCTTATACATGGATTCCAGTTGCCTGGATGTCGAATGCAGCTGATTGGGGAGCTGCCATGTATACATCATCACTTGCTTTAGGGTTGTAATGAATGGTAGAAAGATGGAGGATGAGTCCTCCCTTCTGACGGTGTCATATATGTAATCTTGATTGCGGTTGATGCAATGTTGGACATCGATCTCCAAATACTTCGTCATCCTTGACAGCAATTCCCCGAAGTTGCCATGCAAATCTCCAGGAGAACCTGGACCTTGAGTAGAGATAACAGCATCTGGCGACGTCAATGCCTGTTCAGAGTCATCTGAGTCAGAATCAGAGTGGAATGGGGGACTCGAGGATGACCCGGCAGGAGACGGCGGAGGTCAGAAAAGAGCAGGCACAGAGGTTGACAGGGCATCCCTCGACACCAAATGAGGGGTGGAATGATGAGGATGGATCAAAGGCCTTGGGTAGTAGCCATAGGGAGGATAATAGTCCCATGGATAGGACTGAGATGGATCAAACTCCCCATATGGTAGAGGAACCCAGTATTTTGAAGGCTGAACTGGGGCCTGTTGTTGTTGGAGGGAGGCTGGGCATTGCGGAGCCCTCAGAGATCCCTCCAGAGATGTAGGCATCAGTGTCGGGGAACAGACAGGTGGCAGGTCAGTGCAAGACCGAGGTGGAGACTCCCAGATTTCACCATCCGACATCAACCCTCTAGCCACAAGATCGAAACGATCAGGAGTGGACGGAGCCAAGATGACGATCCGTGGTGCAGACCCCAGTGCAGTCACTTGCATGACCAACTGAAAAGTACAAGGGTCCTCAAACTTTTTAACCAGGGGCCAGTTGAAAGGTGTTAGTGCTGAGTGAAGGTCGGAAAGGTGGTGCCGGCGGTGCGTGTGGGCCAGAGTGGGAGCAGTGTGTGCGAGCGCGTGCACTGAGGTGGGGGTGGGGCAAATGGCGAGGGAAGGAGGGGGCGGGCATGCGCCGTGAGGTGGGCGCATGAGGCAGCGGCTTGCTCGCTTGGAGATTGTTTTCTCCAAGAGAGCAAACCACTGCCTCCCCACGCACAGGGCGAGGTGGGCAGGTGCGTGCGTGGCGGGTCCAAATGGGCATGGTGGGCCGGATCCGGCCCCTGGGCCCTAGTTTGAGAACCCATGAAATAGTTTGTTCAATTGGAGCCAGGAACAAGACGGCAATCGGTACTGAAGGTGGAGAGGACACCGATTCCGCACAAGGCACTTTAGGATGCTTCTTGTGCCTGCGTTCCACCTTGTCGGGCTTTTCCTTCTTAGGTCTTTTCAACACAGAGGACTCATTGGACTCAACATGCTTCCTCTTCTCCTTCTGCTTTTGGTAAGGAGAATGGGAGGAGCGCTTTGCCTCCTTGCAAGTTACATCACTGTCAGATGGACAAGGAGGAGCCACCTTGGATGGACCTGCCACAGAGGTCTCTGCTGAAACCTTCTTCATGGCAACCAAAGCCTGGTCCCAAGCATTTTCTGCAGAAAGTTTTTCCGGTTCTTGCAGGCCTGCCTGGTAAAGGACTGGCAATGGCAGCACTTATCGGTCCTGTGACCTTCTCCCAAGCATAGAAGGCACAAGTCATGAGGATCGGTGGGGGACATTTTAGCCCCGCACTGTGAACTCTTGCTGAATTCGTTGAAGAAGTGAGAGAAGAAAAACAGCAAATGACAGAAGAATTAACAAGAAGAGTAACAATAGAAGGGTTTTGTAGTATTATTGAGAAGGGAAAGGGGAAAGGGTTAGGAAAAACTATGCAAACAGGGGGCAGGGATTGGATGGGTTATACCTTGGATGAAGGAATAGAAAGAGAAAAGCTGTAAAGTCAGGAGAACAACAGTAAAACTTATTAGAATATAGCTACGAGAGTCAAGTGAAAGGCTCGAGGCACAGCGCATGGTGGTCGCAAGTAGACTGGGGCACGCCGCCCATTTACACTGTAGGGGGGAGGGCATGGAGTTCCCACCAAAACCATTAAAGCTTTTTAATCTTCCCACCAACAGGCACTACACAGGCGCAGCACCCATAATGTGTGATGCACAGAGGCCACGATGAAAACACAGCCACCATGCTGTGTTTTCTATTGTTTGTAAAACCTGGAAAGAAGATAATGTTACATTGATGTTCCCCTTTTATCTAGAGAACCACAAAATGCATAGTTTAATATGTAACTAGAATATGCACTTGAAAACATTATACTTTAATTTGGTATCATGTGACTGTTATGACAAGATTCATTTAGTTAAACGCTCTGATCAAAACGTGGGATTTTCAACACACAGGTTCTTGATTTCAGCCTAAGCTGAAGTTTATTTCATACTTGTAACAATACCCATTAACCTCAGTGATGCTTTCAATTATGGTCAAAAAAGGAATCTCTAAGCTTACTCTTTCTCAATCTATCACTGGTGCCTTCTGGGCACAGATTAATTGACACTATGTTTTCCTTCTGTGGTATCATTTGTAAGCTAAGGGTGAATCCAGCCTTACCCCTGAGCAACTAGGCTAAGCAAAGTGAACTTCCCCACCCTACAGCCCTCCTGAAAATGCTGCACAGACAGTTTGCTGAATGGTGTGAACTATAGTGTAGGAGAGATGGGGTAGAGGGGTCATTAAAATTGGATAGAGGGACCATCCACATGTGCAGCCCATTCTCCTCTCATGGAAGATAGATCCTGGATTCTATTTGTTGGGTGTGTTACAAGGAAAATTGGGGAGTTTAGGGCTTAAGTGTTTATGTTTCATTTTTTCCCCTGAAATGAATAGATTCTGCCTGCAGATACACTTCTTGCTCCTTTGAGGTTCTAGATACTCCACTGAAAATATAAATGTACCAGAGACCAAGACATGTAAAGTAGAATTTGTAAGTCAGCTTGCCTTTTCAAGCAAGGAATGGCTGTTGATGGCAGCTTTAATT